GGAGGGGATGGGGAGGGGAGGGGGAAATCGGCGAATGAGGTGGATGCGAGGCGGCTATTCGTATCATATCATTATCATCCACTCTAATCGAAATTCGGTCCGAAAGGAAATTATTTCTCGTGCGGGAGAGCGACGAACAAGGGCGGTCTCGTGTGCGGGATTTCGCGACCCTGGCCTTTGGTGGGGCTGGACTGGGCTGGGGCCTGGGGAGGGCAAGGACGCGGCGCAGAACGAGGCGCGTAGCTACCAATTTGCCTGCCGGCTCGGCGGCCTCCTCAAGGGCAAGGAGTATTTGCTGAGGGGGTGGTTATTGAGAAGATTGGAGAATTTCGAAAGAGTCTATAAATAACTGCGACAACGCAGTCGCAGTCGATGTGGCTCTCGCGGGGCCAGGCTGGTTGGCTGGCTGGCGCGGCGTCGCTCGGCGGCGAGCGCCCGGTGGGTAGGCAATCGTGGAGCAGCTATGTCGGCGGCAGAGCTGCGTTGCCTATCCACAGGCGCCCCTTGCTGCGAGCTCGCTCGCCCCCCGCGCTGGAGGAGAGCGCCTGGCTGGTTGATAGGGAGGCGTTGGTGGCGTTGGTAGACGGTCGGGGAGCAGCAGCAGCTCTGAGTCGGCGGCAGAGCTGTGTTACCTGAGCGTCTTTAGCATCAAGCTTTCAAATGGAATTTGGCAAAGTATCGCTAAAAAAACGGGTCATATTTCAGAATCTCCATTAAGAGCGCGGATCATGTAGTGATACCCTGAAACATGAATCAAACAAGACGAGGAATCCTCTCGCCCAGCTCCTCCTCCCTCCTCCGCGGCGCACCCCCGATGACGGCGACAACGTCTATCGACCCATATCGTTTGTGATCGAGTGCGATAGTTATCCCCCGTGCTGCATCGCATCACAACAACGAGAGGCTTGTCGTTACGTTACGCAACCTCGCCCCCCTCCGGCCAGCCGGCACGTCACTCCCGTCACGCCAAGTCGCCTCATCCTGACATTGACACGCGGCCGGCCGCGCGACGTCACCTCAATCAATGCCGGTTCGACCTCCGCCCCCTCCCCCTCCCACTCTCTCTCTTACCCCTATCTGAATTATAATGCGACCCCCTCTCCCTTTACCCCCTGTGTCAACTGACCCCTCACAACCTCCACCACCACCCCCTGTACATAACACTCCACAAAAGGGCACACGCCTGCTGGGCGTCACCGCTCTTTTGCACTTAACAGGCCGGCCGCTGTTTACCGAGCTCTTTCGCACCTTTTAACAAGCCTCGTTTGCGGTTAAGAAAAAAAAGAAGAAACAAAAAAGTATATTTACAGTTTAAGAAAAAAAACAGCATTGGTCTGTCCATCAGTCTGTTCCCCTTTTGAGAAGGTCCAAATTCGCATTAAAATCTAATGACGAAATAACGTCACCAGAAGTGGCGCCCAAAAGAGTTGAGCGTGTTTTATTCAGCATCACAAAAATAAACTTGGGCCCCTTAGCTCCCGAGGAAGCGTGTGTTGTTTACGTCGTTGTGGCCGGTCCCGACCGCCGCCTCGCCTGCCTCACATGCACGAAGTGCCTCCGCGCGCTCGGTAACATTGACCTTTGAGAATACGTCCAACGCGCGTCCGAAGCCATGCACGGGACGAAAAGAGTTGCTTGGAGGGTGGGGGGCTGTTGACGAGTTGATGCGACCGGCTTTGGCTGTTTACCATGGGGTCGCGGCGCAAATACTGTTAGGGGAATGCTTGTTTGTTTCCTCATCGGCAAAATGGATGAAGGCGCGTCCAGAAAAACAAAATACAAGAGAGTATTTGCATTCGTATTATGTGACTTAAAACGATTGAATAGGTCAAAATTTAAAACAAACACCTAGTTTCAAAGCAAGTTGCATTTGTATCCTTTATTACATCCCCTATTTACGGCGCAGCCGCGTGGAGGTCATGTGGCCAGAAGACCATAGGGGGAGGAGGGGGAGGAGAGGGGGGGTCGATAGTCTAACGGCGTTTGATGAGCTGTCGCCGTAATGGCGACGACATATTAATCAGGGAGAGAGGGTGTCCTTCGCGTTGCGCGCTCAGCATGGCTCGGCGCGTATGACCCAGTATGACCATGGCACGGGCGTGGGCGTGGGCCGGCGTGGGCACGGCTAGCTGTGATATGCTTTTCCCCGAGACACCAATTCTTGACGCCCCCCCCCCCCCCTAAATTCGAATGAAATATGGTAGATAGGGAGCGGGGTGGGTTGGCGGACATTGATATATAGATAAAGCCAACAACACTAGAGCCGTACATTCGAAAAAGAGGAATTACATTTATTTACTCGTGACCTTTGACCTACACACAAGTATGTTGACTGATGGGACACGTTTTGCTTTGGGGGTGGAAAATAGACGGCACGTGTGGCAGTGCAGCACCACTGCCCCGCGCAATGTAGTGGAAAGGGCAGGAAAAGGGAGAAGTATAGTTTGAATAACAGAGTACAAATTGACAAGAAAAGGACTTGCAGGATGACAGAAATTCCTCCCTCCATTGTTTGCATCGCCTACGCCGGCGTGCGCTTCTACTAGCTCGGGGCCCTTAAGCGGCCTAAAGAGACGCCACTGGTGCAGCGACACTTGCGAAAAGGAGCATTTTCCAGCGTTACCTCGAGAAAACCTACAGCGAACAGCAATCGCAGGGGACCTTGATAGCTGGCACGCAGGTCGCCAGACGTCCAGCCCCGTTTGTTTACCACCCCCAAAACAAATAAATAATAACGCCTCGATCCGCAACGCTGCTGAATAAGCTGGATGTCGGGACGCAGTGGGCCCGCCGGCTGGGACTGCTGGGACTTCCCCCTGAGCCGCGCGCGAACGCGCATTTGCATAATACTTTCCGGGTAGTACCGCGGCGCGGCGGGGAAGGCCGTGCCCTTTTTGTGCGGAGGCGAGGGTGGGCATCGATACTTTGGAGGCGGGTCACACTCGGCACGCATCCCCATACTCACTCGCTGCCGCTGGTCGGCACCCTGGTCCTGGGTGCGGGCGGCACCACGGGCGGTGACGGCCGCCCGCGCACCCCCATCCCACTGCCCACCACGCCGAGGCCCTCGATGCCGTCGTGCTGGTCATCCTTGCCGCTGACACTGCTGCTGCTGCTGCCACCGCCGCCGCCGGGGGAGGAAGACTTGTTGGCCTTGGTGGTGCGGTTGGGACTGCGGCGCGCCGCCGGACTCATGCCGTGCCGGCCTTGGCCTCCGACTCGCCGTGGCCTCGGCTCCTGGGCCAAGGCCTCGCCTCCGGAAGGTGAGGTGCCCGACGGACACCGGCTGCCGCCTCTTCAGACTCCGGGGCCTCCCGGTGGGCCCCCGCGGGGTCGAGCCACAACCTCATCGGCGGGACCGCTCCGGCCTCGCCGATGGCCAGGAGCGCCAGGGCCAGAGAGCACCACGACGTCGTCCGCCGGGCCGCCGGGGCGCATCGCGCGAGCGTCACGATCGCGCCGTGCGTGGTTGTCGTGGGCTGTCGACACCGGCCGTCGCCGTCGTCTCGTACACGTCCGCGTCGAAGTCGCGACGATACGGTCAGCGCTATGACCGCTATGACGCCGCTCAGTGCCAACCGCGGGACCGGGCGTCGCCCTGACCGGACATCGACTGGCGGCTGGACTTGCGCTGGGCCCTGGGGTGCCCGCAGGGGCCTCTGGAGGAGTGGCGGGGCGGGGCGGAGCGGAGCGACACGCGCCGCAGGGGTAGCTCGGCTCGATCGAAGCGCGCTCTGCAGGTGGCTCTGAGTCGGTCCGCACTTGGACAGCTAGACTGGACTAGACTGGACAGCCCGGACAGCCAGAACAATGGCAGCAATTCGCGCATAGCCTCCCCCCCCCCGCCCCTCCCTTTTCATACTATCCACCCCTTTCGCGCGGCCGCTCACGTTGTCGAAACTGAGCGCGCGATATGTGTTTGGAGTAAGGGAAGCTCGGTGTATGGGCGCGCCATCAGCAGCGGGGCGCCGACGACGCTTAACGTCGCTAGAAGCGTGCAAGGCCACTTTGACGACAGTTTTGTCAGCGGCGACCCCCCCCCCCCCCCCTCCCCATTTGAATCACCCAAAGCACAAGCAATGGCCTCAGCAGAACACGAAAGGCCGCCGCGGTGCGAACATTCCTGCACGCCACGCACCCAGAGTGCAGAGCGGTCGCGTGAGTTCCGGACAGCAGAACAAGCCCGGTTCCACGGGTTCACCCGGGCCGCGGGCCGCGGGCCGCGAGAGTGCCTGCACCCTCCTTGATGGCTGCCCCCCCACCCCCTCCCCCGCTTGTTTCCACCCTCACTCGCCACGCTCGGCCACCTGCCCGGTTCTCCGCTGTCAGGTCAATGACCTCGTCACCTCCTCCCCGCCACCACCTCACTTTTTATTTTACATGTTTTAATATCATTGAGGGAAGAATCCGGGTAACAGAAATTCAATTAGGAATCAAATATATATGCCTTTATTTTTAAGTACATACATTGTAAATTTTTTTTCAGAAAATAATCATCACATAACAGACCTGAATCTAACAATGTCTTCATTCTACAGTACTAAGAAGAATAAGGCACCTACACATACACAAGAACAGGAACGCATCACTATTGAGGTAACCACAATGGATATCAGAAAGTCATCAACACAATTACATTCCAGTTAAGAGCCATCAGCAAAAGCCTAATTAGATAAAGCACATGGAAAGATATAGTTCTCTTCTGTTGTCACCATTGAACTTTTTTCAAAAAAGGATTGGGG